AGGATCCTTATTGTCCCCTCAGTCTAAAAAGGAATGAAAAACGGCCATGTTTTTCCATGCGAATAAAGCGCAATTATTAACTGATAAGAGGTATCTCTTTCACGCGAGAAAGAATCGCGATATCTCGGCCAAGTCTCAGATTTCTTTCTCGCAGTGACCGAACAATATTCTCCGATTGTTTCGCAAAACTTGGCCGTGGACGAACTTGGCTCTGTTTTTAAAAAAGAGCACTCGAAGAACCACTCTTCCCCTCGTCGAAGAAAGTAGCGTCTCTTTTCTCTCGCCGCGAAGAAGACGGCGTACTAACTTATTACGAAACAATTTGCAAGTCTTATGAGAGTGGTTGAAAGAGAGAGAAAGAGAGAGAGAGAACGAAGGGAGAAGAAAAGAGGAGCGATTGATGGAGGAAAGAAAGAGACAGAAAATAAGACAGCTTTTAAAGACTTTTAATTCGAGAGTAGAATGCCAGTTTCACGGTGTAATTTGAAGCGAATGTATCTCTGTTATATGGTAAATGTGTGTACGTTTTGTGGAGATATTTAAAAATGAAAAATGAAAGAGAGTAAAACGAAAAAAAAAAAAAAAATAACGCGGATAGTCAAATATTTGGGGATAATAAATATTGAAATAAAAGGAAGAAAGTTTTTTTTCGGTGAATTATTAGTTTTTTACATTTATTAAAATTGTACTTTGCGCTTGTAAATAATAAGGCTTTTTCTTTAACCAAGTATCAGGTTTGTGTTTTAATACTTAATTAGAATCGTTGGGTTATAGTGGCTATAATGGTTCGAGGTTGTTAACCTGTACTTAATCACATGTATTTAATTCTTATTAAAATCTTAATCTAAAATATGAAATATGTAAAATATGTAATTCAAGGTAAAATTAAGGAGTTTAAATAATGCAAACTAAATTTAAAACAAATGTCTCATAAAACTCATAATTTAATAATAATGATCCAACAGTACACTAATTCATATATTAACATTTTTATTCTGCATTAGTTTCAAATATTGTCAAGATTAACTTGTTATTGACAAGAAGGATTTTTTATTATTTTATCCTTATTAGGCGATCTATTTACAATTATCTTATCACTATCGAAGAAAATCCCTTACGTTACATTAAAGACAATTCCATTTTCAATAATTACACGACAATATACAATAAAAGCTAATATCTTTATCGTTAAATAATCAAGAAATCAATATTCATTTATAACGCGATAATAAATTATCACGCGTCTCATTTCGCATTTAAATTTTAATCAACCATTTGATCGCCATTTCCACCGCGACGTTAACGAAACAGTGACGAAAATTTTGATAAAAAGGCATGCGAACATCGTACGCGACAAACATCGTATACCGACCCAGTTTCCATTATACAGGCATACGTGAATTAGGCTTAAAATTAGCCTTATGTATAAAGAAGGGTGGAAAATCGATAAACACGATACGCGACATCGGGATCGGGTGAATTTCCTTAATCGAGCAAACTCGTGGGGCAAGTTTTACAGGCGGCCGTGCATTTTACTGATTACACACACGCCGTGTGCGGCGTGGCCAGATGGGCGTGGTTCGATTATTCATCGTTCACAAAGCCGGTCATCTGTCTTTATATGTCTGACCATAAATGTAACGGGAAGAGGGTTGAAAATGCATCAACCTTTCACGCGATCGTACGATGAGGGGGCGATACGCGATCTAGGGAGATTTCGTCGCGTGTTGAATGATCATTTTTGCCGTGTTGGAGGGGAGAGGGAGAGGGAAGAGGAATAGTGAAATATAATGGACATTAGTCTGGTTTTTCGTTATTGAAGAACGGAACAAGATTTCGTCCCTTGCCTTACTTGTTTCTCTTCTAGTAAATAAGAGAACGAAGTAATGGATACCCCTCCCGTTGATGTACAACATCGTATATACTTGAAATATTATACGAGGTATATGAGAATTTCGGTGGAAAAATGATAGAGACGTGTGAATTTTTTTTTTTTTAAGACCGAGATAAGCACAGAAAGAGTAGAGAATTTTATCATAAATTTTTTTAAATTTTCGAGAATATGCACGGTAACGTGATTTAATAGATGAAAATATACAGATATGTTTTTGTTGAATTAATTAATTTACCAACTGTTCTATTTAAAGGCTTGATTAGCTTTTTTTTTTTTAGCAGAATTTAATTATACGTAATTATTTCGTATAATGAATTTTTAGGAATTAAATTTCATTTTTGCAAGAGTATATTTTATAATGCATTAACTTGATTTGTATCTCCTTTTTTTTTTTCTTCTTTTTATTATCCTTCCATTTTCACGATGCCAATTTCGCGTTGATTGTATCGAAATTAAACAATGTACATGTCTTTAATTATCTCGTTCCTGCGTTAGTGCTTCTACGATTTAATTGTACTTGTACACGTTATCACACGTCACTGTATATTGCCGCAATCAAACTCGAATAGAATATTCTCCTGTTCCAGGAGAGGCGAGACGAACGTATCGTTATCAAAATAAAAACATCTCCATGTTTACACACGAAAATTCGTGAATTATCGCATTACATTACGCGCTTCCAACGCGCGATGAACCTAACAATCCGATACAATTTATTATTCTTATCGAAAATTTTCATTTTCCCGAAACGAACGATTCAATAAAAATCTCAAAGTTTGCAGAAAATTTGCAGAAAAAAAGAAATTAAGTTAATTAAGAAGCATCGACTCGCAAAGCTACCGAATTCAATCCAGAAATTAAAACGATACGAGAAACTACGCAAAGCGAGCCACTCTTTCATAATTCGAACGATTGTCGAAGCGTTAAACGCTGCCATTAATTGGCGCCTGATCAAAACGGTTTGGGACACGTCCGCGAGAGAATGGATCCATGTACGTCTCTATTCGTTTTCACGCTCCATTTGGCCGGGTAATTCGCGGCCTGTCGCTTTCAAACCGATCGAAAGTAATATTCCAACAACCTTCTTGTTTCGAGGCAAACAGCGGAAAATCTTTGACGCACGGTGAATCTTCTAGGAAATTTTTTTTCCGACTCGCACACAACAGGGTGCCATCTATTGTTCCCCCATTGTACCCCGTTTTAATCATGCTGCTGCACTCACTTACTCCTAGTCTCGGCTTTATTCCGTGCTCCACAGGTTTTCGCGATTGCACGGGGTCAACGTTGCTCCTCCTCTCTGTTTCCTTTTTCTCCTCCTCCCCTTCTCTTTTACACACACTCGTTTCTCTTTCCCTTGTATTCTTTTCACGAATGTTTTTTTTTCTTTCTTTCTTTCCCTTCTCGTATTTTTCAAACGAGACGCGAGGGCCTTGCCTTTCATCCAGGAAAAAATGTTCAATGTAAGTCAATTTCGACAGTCGTCATTTTTGTCTTCCAGGGCTAGCTCTTTGATCTGATTCATCGTGCTTTTTGCACATTGAGGTTAGTTCGATGCGTGTAGAGATATATTATTTTTGCGAGTTTCAGGGAAATGTAATTAATTTGATCGATGTTTATTTAAGCTTCTTTCGATCTCTTTCTTTTTTATTTCGTTATCCCTTTGAAAGATTTCCTCTAAACGCGCCAACATTTTCGAATATCTTCTCCATTTTCTATTTTCCTTCTGGATTCTCTTATTGAATTCTATTTGTACATTGCACGGAATAGGAAAAATGGAATAGAATTTTATACAAACTTGAAACAGAGGAGCAATTTCTCTTCGAAATAATATCGTATTCTTATTTTCTCCTGTTAGAATTTAAAATCGTCCCGAGTAAGAAATATCGGTACTCAAGAATTTCTCCTTCGATCTCTTAGCATAAAACACTAACCTCGACCTTAAGGATTCGAACACACATTTATGGGGAATAAAACTTTCCTCTCGATATTTCTTTTTCTCGTTATTGTATCGAGTTCACTGATGAAAAAAAATAATTGCGCGAAAGAAACGATAATTAACGCGACAAAGTTCTCGCGAAGAAAGTGACAGGAGGAGATGGATCGAGGAGTGGCTCGTCGTTAGACAGACGATTTCCTTGCGAAAATAACGTTTTCCCCGGCGAAAAACGGTGTATCGTGGATGGAATTGCAGGCAGGTGAATAACGATGACGTCGGCCGGGGCAAGAATACACGGCGCGCGAATCGTGAAAAGATTTGCTCGTCTCCCAACGACCAAAGACGTCAACCGGCCTGGAATTTTAAAGGGGAGAGACGTCTAAGCGAGACATGTCGCCTTTTAACCGGCGGAAAATTACGAGACGAGGGAGGAAAAATGGATTTATATATCAACGTCGGTTGTCCAACAATCCGTGACAAGCCGGTTATATCTGCCAATGAGAATTTGTCATTTGGATCTCGCTCTATGATCCGACCATGAATTTTAATCGAAACCAGGGGGGGGATGTTGAAGTTCGACCCGGAATGAAATTTTAACCGGTCGGCCAAGTTTTAATAACTTGTGTTTGCCGAAACTGTGATTTTAGAGATTTGGTATATTGGGACAGATCGTGCAGAATTTAGTTTTTTAATTTTTTTATTGCAAAATTGCTTTACGATATCCCCTTTCAATTTTCTCCTCGTTTTAAAATTATAAAATACAGCTCGAATCATTTTCATTTAATTATTCAAATAATCTATTAACAATAATCTAACTCTTGGTAACTCTTTCATCCTCCTGCTCCGTTTATTTTCCCTATCTCTCCTATATTTTGATCCCCCCGCAATTATCCTACTTTCCAAACCATCCCCTAAACGTCGAATTTCCGGTGTCAGAGCCGTACCAAATTCACGAAACCATTAATCGAACGTGTCTTTCGGAATAGGCGGTCATCGATTTCAATTCCGGCCCGCATAAATCCTGATAATTCTAATTCGAATCGAGGGCTAGCGATTAAGTATTTGCGTGGCACGTCGACAAATCTATTCTCCCTTCCATCGATAATCGATAATTCGTTCCCTTTTTCGACTACTCGAAGCACACGCCCGCCGTCGAAAATTCATTCTTACCTTCGATCTTCCTTCGACCCGTTTCTCTTGATTCAGCTGAATCCAGGCGTCCCATCGATGCCTGTAGACAGTCAGGGTGTTCCATTCGTTCAGCCTCACTGTTTGCGTGCTCCTCACTGTGCCGACTCCGCTCCCACAATCGAACCTTCGAACAAATACCTGGATTAGGGGGTCCGTCTCCTTTTGGCTTACTCCTGTTGGTTATGAAATCATGATTTTTCCACGAATGATTGTTCGCGTTAAAAGGCTTGGAAATTTTATCGTTTGCGATCTGAGGCATCGACGAATTTGGATTTCTGAGTTTGTTGGGAGGAATGAATAATCTTAAATATATTTTTTGAAATATGTTTTTATCTCGAAGCAAGAAACAGAATGTGGCTTAATTTTAATCGGTTTACTTTAAAGCAGAAACGAATTATAACGAATTATAAATATTTGACGATTAAAGAAATGGATTCGTTTGGTATTAAAAAATATAATATAAGAGAATATGCTAATTAATAGTTTAAAAAGTTCATCGCGAAAGGTTAAGAATTTTATCCAATCGTTAAAAAGATTGGCATTTTATCCGATTATTGTCATTAAAATTTCTTCCCTCCTTAATATTTCTCTTCGTTTTTTCCAATTTAAGCTTTCCACATTGTTCACGTCATTTATCTATTGGCAGGAAGTTTGGTTCGCCACGAAACGTGGAAACGTACGAAATCGGTCGAATATCTCGAACTGTAAGAATTCATTGGCTCGAGAATCGTTTGCTTAAAAAAAAAAAGCTTCGATTTTTAAAAAAAATGTTATTTATGGAATAATAATATAGCGCGATATTATATCGATACGCGAATTTAAAACGTTTTTCCTCGTGGAGAATTTCTTTCAAGAGTTTTGAATGTTTCGAAAACGAAATTAAAGTAAAATCGATTTATATTGGAACAAGTATATCACGAAATCAGGTATAAGTATAAGAAAGTATTTTAAAAATAACAAAAATGGACGATCAAGTTTTTTATTCTGTGAAATATGTTTTTCATTCATATTTAAATATTTCAAATCGAAAAAGAATTGACTATTATGTATACTTTATAACATCTGTATAGAATATTTTTTTATTCATTTTCCTTTTTTATGCGTAGAATTATTTATTTTAAGTATTTTCTATTTTTCATTCATATTTTTTTTGTTTTTTTTTTTTTAATAATAAAACTTTATGTTCTCTCGATCAGGGAGATAAATATTATAAATAAAAATCACAGAAATTAGAGATTAAACGAGGATAAGTGAAATCTTCAATAGGTTAAACTTTCATGGAAAAAAGTACATATTGTCATAAATATTCGTAAAGAGACTTGGAAAATTCATAATTTATTCATGCGCTCATTTCGAATAAAATATACACGATCGATTGTTATTCCAAAAACGTTTTTCAATCGAAACGAAAACGTTTCACAATCGTTCGACGATTACCGCAATGAACAGAACATTTCAACGTAGGGACGAACAGAATAGTTAATCTCTCGTTTCAAAATCTCGTCACATTCTTAAACAACCCTTCCGGTTCGCTCGCCCCGTCGATAATACACAGAAAATCACGTGCGCGTCGACGGGGAAATGAAAAAGCATTATATCTATTAACTATTCCATAACGGGGATGTCAATCAGTGTCTGTAAACGTGAGATTAACGACCATGAAAGTAACATGAAACTTTATCGTACCGTACTGAAAGTAATAATTCACCATTACCTAACTTGGAGGAAAGAGAAATTCAAAATTCTTGAAAAAATCTATGAAAAATAAAACGCAAACAAGGCTTATAAACACAGCGACAATTTTAAACGTAATTTTAATCGATCTTTTCATGATATCTATATTATAATGTAATGACAATCGTGCAACGTTATAAATTATAAAATATTTCGGGTGTCTTTTTTATTGAGATAACTTCGTTCTGAAATGCTAATTGCAAATATCTTGGTAATTTATTTACAAGAGAAAAGATTCGTTTTCTTGTTTCATCGTAATATTCCAGTTATTATTATATTCCTTTCGGTGTATACGTTCCACTATTTATTATTTATTCGTTCCAAGCGAAACGAAGGATAGAAAAGAGGTCGTGCTTAGTAGAGGCGGCAAGGGTTGGATTCTAAGTTGCGGTAATTATCACTGTCGGAGGGTAAACGACATGGTAATGAGAAATTTTAACGAGTTATGCCGACTGCAGCGTAAATCCTGCACAACCGAAGTACGTAATTAATAGCATGCTGCTTGGGGCACGCGCGTGCTACTTGCAAGTTTTAAAGCTCGCCCTCTGCACGCAGCTCGCCAATTCGTCGATTTCGGTCTAAGAATTATAATAGCGCCACGCTCGTTTTTCACCACGAACAACAACTTCTACGTGTTCAGTTTACGTTTCATTTAAGCAAAAATTGCTTTTTCATTCTCGAGTGTTTTTTACTCTTTTCTTTTATTAAATTAAACGATAGCAGATTTCATTTCATTTACCAATTATACAAACGAAATTTTTATCAAGGTATTTCTCCCTTTTCCACGTTTGTTGTTGAATGAATTAACAATGGAAAAGATTAATGTTGTTACGTGAATGAATTTATTAAATAGACGTTATTATCGTTCTATCTTACATCGTAATTTTTTAAACCGCGCCCATTCTCTATTATCACAATTCCGAAATTTTAAATATCTTATACACAATTTTCTGCAAATGCAAACACGCTCACGTGTGCTCGAGATACAAAGAAGAACAATATAAAATCATTTTAAATGTAAACGATTCGCCTTATTTGCAAATCGTTATCCCCGTAACGATCCATCCCCGAGCAGCTTAACGAAGCAGAATCCTCGCAATTTCCTCCCGCGATATATCTCGAAATTTCTTTTCTTTCTCTCGCCCAACGTCGAGAAGTATTAAAAAAAAAATATTTATAAACGATATCTATCTACGAGTACAGTATTTAAAACAATTTAAACCGTGATGAAAGTTAGTGTGTTCGAGGATGCAATCGTGAGAAAAGCCGATTAGCCAGACGGACGATACCCGAAACGGAAATTCAATTTCGGCCATTGTTGCGAGATATATATATATATATATATGTATATCCGTGAGAGTGTAACACGGCTCGAAAAATAAAAGAAAATAACGATTTTTATCTTTACGGAAAGCAAAAAAAAAAAGCTCAGTCGTTGGTGACGCAGTTTTCGCCTGGTGTGAAATAATTAAGAATATTTCCCTCGGGGAGATGACGACGAGGATCGTGACCCTGACCTTGTTCCTCGCGATATAGTGACCCCCAAGATGCACTTGACATTTTTATATGCCTCGCTGTCATTAGAAGAAAAGTCACGTAGTTCGTGGGTTCGATACTCGAACAATGAAATTAAAACGATTGTTGGAAGAGAGTTGAAGCGAAAAACGATTCTATGAAATTTTTCTCGAACTCTGAAATGAAAATTTCCTATAAATATATCAATATTTAATTGGCCATTGACTGCAGACAAGCGAGTGGAATCGAACCAATCATCATCAAATTTAATTTTCCTAATGAAATAAGAAATAACAAACAGAGGATGGAAGACGAGATGTTCTCTTTAAAACTAAAAAAAGGATTAGCCAACGTGAACGAACCGTGCAAAATTTCATCGAAAATGATATTTTATGATATACGTGTCTCGATATTCCTAATATCTCGAAGCCAAAAGCTTAACGGGTCAAGTGTCGAAAACAGTTAACTTGCCCCTCGCATATTCGAGAAGAAAACGGAACACACATCGCCCTCCTCTCGAAAGAATCTTTTGGACACCGTCCAAGGACTCAATTCCTATTTTTGTCTCGATCCTCGGGCTCACGCGATATTACTTCCGTTTCGAGCACGCTCGTCGCTCGACCGTGCATGTAACCGTAATGCGGACATCCGTGTACGTGAAAGTGATTCTTTGAGCTTTCCATCCTCCCCCTCCCCCTCGGTCCCCTTTATCCTCGGTCGAGAGACACAGACGAGGACGACGACGGGTTACGTGAACGCGGCTTAACCGAAGAAAAGACCACTCAGATTGGATAGGTAAGCCGGAAAACTCGGGTGGCGAGAGACTTTGTTCCACCGTTGAAAGCGAACGGTAACTACACGGCCAGATATAGGATCATGCTTCTTCTTCTTCTTCTTCTTTCAGCCACGGCTGACTTGCGAGAAGAAGATTTCATTTCGTCCGAAAGCGAATCTTCAGCCATCTCTCCACGCTTAGGAAGGAAATATTTTACGGTGGCGACGTACTACGAATTGGGGAGGGATGATCGTTGTACGTTTTGAGCGTCGTCAAAGTTCGATTGGGATTAGGAATTTTTTTTCAAATTCGTTCGAAGGGATCTCGACGATGTCGAGTATAATTTGAGAGAAATACGATGGAATGTTGTTGGAATTGAAATTTTGGGAAATTTAGGTTAGATTCGTTCGAGAGTGAATTCGATCACTTAGCTTTTCATTTAGGCGAGGTTTTTCTTTTTCTTTCTTTTCTTTTTTTTTTTTTTTTTTTTGGCTGGTTAATATTCGAACGATGTTTGTCCAGTACGAATAAATTCTACGATTGATCATTTGGCGCACGATTAATGAATTATGGAAATGAAATCGGCGAACGACGAACGATTATCACGGCATCGTTGAATAAATTACATTCAGACGAGGCTTTTATTCTTTCGGCCCGATTATTTCCATAATTAAATAGAAATTTTCGTTTTCGAGGAAACACATTTCAGGATTTCGTCGTCATTTCATGTTTTAACGGGACAAAGGCTTATTGGTAATAAGATTGAATTGCTAGTTGAACGATGATATTGAAATTATGATATAAAACGCAATAGATGTATTATATATTATAAACTTCTATATTTCTACTTATAAATATTATACTTTTGAAGATATTTGCGCATAGGAGTATTGGAAGAAGATAATGTGAAAATATTATGGACCATAAATAACGATTTATTATTGATATAAATGAATGTTGATGACGTGTAACGTTAAATATGCAGTAATTACAAAGTGCATTAACGGGCGGACTAAAATGCGACTAAAAACTGTGGCAACTCTCTCGATTTTAACGACTCTCGTTATTCTCTCGATGGCTTGCAATTTTCTTTTATCACGCGCCTCATATATATACATACATGTATTGAAGGAACAATGAAAAAACGATACAAAGATTGAAACAAAAGAACATGTCGCGTGTTCAGAGCTCCTTGCATTTGTATTTCTTCATTATTATTAAATACTATTCTCCGTTATTATTTTTAAAAATAATTATTTTCCAAACTATCCTCGTGATTTCACAGACCTGTTTAAAGATCAAATATCAAATATATTCAAATATAATATCAATTTTTTCCTATAAGAATTACCAAAAAAAAAAAAAAAGAATAATTAGTTGTCAATAAATAAGTGAAAATTGAAATTTTTAGCAACGGTATATATAAATTTATTAAATTATTTAACGAATATTTAATTAATACATTAAAATATAAAACGACGAGTATAAAAATTTCCACTTCAATATTCTCTTTGTTCTCTTTCCCATCGTTCCTTCCTCCTCCACAACTTCAATTACAACAATGAAACCACGATATTTCTTCCAACTTCGCTGTTATATTTACGACGTGGAATTAAAACGCGAAATCATACATCGTACTACACGGAAAAAAAAAAAAAAAAAAAAAAAAAAAACTTTAACGCCACAAAGTTTACAAAAACGGCCCTTTAGGCCACCGGTAATGAAAACTTTGGAAGGTAAACGGCAACATTAACTATAAAATACAGCCTGCTCGTCGACGTGGCCAACGAGTCGAACTTCCGGATTCATAAATCGGCGGCTAGTCGCGAGTTATTAAGCTGTAAACGAAAAATTAGCCGGGATCCTTAATTAATGGCCCCATCAAACTTACACCGAAATGGCCACATAGTCATCGATGGTGAGTGTATCTGGTGAAAAATGACCGGGAAAACTTCTTTCCGCTCCCTTCTTCGCTTATTAAGAAAACGTAGTGGCAGCCAAGTTCATCAACGCGATACTTTATAGCCAGATCTTAAGAAGGCTTGCTCCTACGAGATGAAATTCATTTAAGATGAAATTTCAAGGCTTCTTTTACGATAAGTTTTTTTAATTTGTATTTTATCGGTTGATTTTGAATATACGTCGTGGAATTATTCTGAAATATTAAAATGATACAATATTGATAAATTTGATTTTGAGTAATTCGTTTCAAATATTATTTATTCTATTCGTTTATCAATTTTGCAAGTTTGAATTAATGCGTAACGAGTAACTTTGAAGTATATATTTCAAAATTTGTGGTGTAAATTACGGAGTTGGATTATGCGGTAGTTGAAAATCGTGAAAATATGTGCTGGTTAGAATGTTGCGCGCAGTGCATTGATATCTGCGCGTGTTATTATCGTAATGTATTAATTATATAATTAAGTAAAAATACATATCCGGGAGAAAGAAGAGTTATGGCAAAGATAATTAAAAATTGGCCGAGAAGCAGAGTGCAAACACACAACAAGCAACACGCTACGATAAATACGTACTAAAGTTTCCAAGCCTGTTTGTGTATATAGGGCGGATTAAAAAAGAGAATAAATTTTAAAATTACTACCTCCGAAACTTTGAACGAAGATTAATCCCATGAAAATCGTGTTCGCGTTGTTCTTATCTAATTAAAAAATTTTCAATAATTTCAATCCATAATATCAACCTCCTCCCTCCGATTAATTCCACAAATTTTTTTATATTCCAACTTTTATATTCCATTCCGTAGAAATCGATTCGTAATTAAAAAAAAAAAAATACTTTAATCTCGCGCCTTTAAAAGGCTTTGAGAGTTTTAGACGAAGGACCATTACATCCAAGGCATCTCAAGGATGAAAATTAACCCTTCGAGCGCAGACGAGCGAGTCTTCGAGTCGAGTTTCGTCGAAGTTTATCGATCACGCGTTCCTCCCCCTCCGATAGGGAAACGTGTCTCGCGGCAAATTGAAGCAAATCGCGGTTTCGCGCGAATCCTTTGATGTCCCGCCGCTAATAGGGCAATGAGGTTTTCGGCCAAACTTCCATCGTATCGAGGCAAGTTATGGAAAGTTGGCATAATACGGTGATATATGTCATCGACAGGGATGCACGCAATTTGCGGCCAACCGTTCCACTCCTATCGATCAACTTCCATCGATACATCGTTCTAAACTAACTTCCATTTTTCCTCCAATTTCGATTTGTTCACAACCATTATATCGAACGACAGATCGAATGGCTATTCATTTTAACGTGTAACTAAATAAATTTTAGTAAAAAATAATTGGAATCCACGTTAGGGAAGGTATATACTCGTAATTTTATAAGAATGGGAAAATGAATAAGAATGATTTAACAGTTGATATTTAAAAAAATATGCATTATATTTTATTATTTTATTATCCACCAGATCAGTGGAAATTTAAATGTATAATGCTTTACAGAATGCAAGAGATATTCGAAACAAAGTACATATAAAGAATAAAATCTAACAATGAAATTATATGTAAATAATATATAATAACAATACGATATTTTTTTTAAACTTTAAACAAAAAACATGGATATATACATAAAACTGTCCAAGTATCAAACTTAAGAAAAGAAATTCAAAATATACTTATACTAGGGGATAATAAAGAGCCTTTCCAAGCTAACTTACTTTCCTTTAAATAATCGTACTTCGACCCATCGTGATCGTGATCGATCAACAATCCACTTTCCACCCAAGCTATTTTACATTTTATCCGGTTTAAATTCGTGTACGCTTCACGATCGAGGAAGCGTAATATCGTTACCTGAACTCGATGAATCCGTGATGCAGAATCAAGGCCATGAAGTCACCCTGAAGATCGTCCCTCTCCCCGGCAAGAAGCAAGATACCGTCCCACGCCTCGGGACGGAATTCCAGTTCTAATTGGACGTGCTTGTAAGCGGCCTTTAGCGCGGGAAACGCAAGCCAACCGGAACCGGTGAACCTGGGCGATCTTACCTCGGCCTCTGCACAAGCAAAAATTACCAAGTCTCGTTAATTATTATTATTATTAATATCGATATTTAATTTGATAATAATTATTAATATCATTGTTATATCTTTTGTGACGCCAGTTTAACGCTTGACAAATTTCAACGTTCCTTCGTTCGTTCTTATGAATTAGCTACGATCTTATCGAGTTGTCGACGATTTACACAGCGATGGCACACAACAGATGCTTTTAAGTAGATAAGCAAGACAACGAAATTTGTTTTCATCGACGAAGAATCGTATTAATTCGCTTATTGACTCGTTTATTAGATTTATTTTTGACGAGTTTCATCTCGGATTACGATCAGATTTTATCGTTAATTTGTTGGTTGATCCTTTGCAAGAATATTATTATATTATATTTAGGAGAAACGAAGTGGAAGCAGAAAATTAAATTGCTGAAAAATAATTTCGTTTTATTTTCCTCGATCGTTCTATTCTACTTGGCTCGTTTGAATGAATAATCTCGTTGCGTAGAGAAAGCTATTTGTATACACACGTCGAATAATATTTTCTTCTCGGTTTGACCGTATTAAAATCTTAATAGAAACGATTCTCCTCCTTCGAGAGAACGTAAACAAAAGCGAGAGATACGAGCAAAGCGTTGCTTCGAACGGTGGCCCATATTTCGTTATCCACTTATCCCCTTCAAACTAATTGCCCCATATATCGATAAAGCTTGGATTGCGAAAACGGAACCTCTCCGTCTTCGTCCCCTTTTTCCCCTCCCATTCGAGGGAACGAAGAAATATGGTCGAGGCGGATAGAGGAAAAGGTATCGAGGTATCGAGAATTCCAGGGACAGGATCGTCCTTCACCTTGGCTAACACAGATCCGACTATCAACCGAAGGATTCAGTATAGTGGAGAAAAAAGGAAGGGTACTCCAGTGCCAGTCGTAATTTGAAGGGTGGCCCATAAATCAGAAAAACTTGTGTCCACAGGAAATGGAACAACAGCTCGTGATCTTCCGATTCGTCCGATTCGTTAGAGAACTTTGACAAAAATTTTGCGAATACTTGTACACTTTTAAGTTTCTTAATCGATTAATCGCCATTGTGACCGTAATTTCAATTCGAGAAACGAAAAAAGGAGAAGAAAAATAAGTTTTAGAGCAAGATTTTGATCGAGATCTTGGATGACAAAGATATTCGATCAATTTTAATTTTTGCTTCGACTGATAAAATTCAATCGTCACGTGTTACAACGTTTAGAACGAAAGGGAAGATGATGTAAATGTATTTGATACACGAGCGCTCGAGGACGAGAGCGAGTTAAGTCAATTTAATCTTGCGGTTTTATCTCAGGTAAGTCAATATCCGGGGAGGAGGAATAAGAATACGAGGTTAACTCGATTTCCCGGTTTAATTGGCCACCGCCATCATGGGTCTGGCAGTTGTTCGTCCCAATTAACTCGATGTGAATTAAAAATCGTATCAAAAATAACTTATACGAATTATTAATACGATTTCATTAAATCGTATTTTCTCAAGTTTTTTTCCCCCCAATAAGTTTCGTCCATGGAAATCTAAAGTGTGCGCCTGTTCCTCTCTTTTTCCGTGGCGGAGTCAAAGTCAAGAGACTTGAAAGGGAATCAGAGAAGCGTGGATACAGGATTAATTTCATATCGTGCGAGCGAAATTTCATTTTCGCATTTATCTCTCTCGGAAAATTGTATTTCTGTTTAACGGTATTAGAAAGAAAAAGTAATTTAATTTGGATAATGAAATTTTTCATATATATATTTCAATAACACGTTTAATTAAAATGAATTAAATAAAATTTCATATTGTGATGTTTTAATTTCTCGTCTTTTTTTCTTTTTTTTTTTAAACAAATGAATAATAAAATAAATTTTGATGAACATTTGGCAAACGATTTACTGTTCTAGTATTTTCTTATCATTTCTATTACTGTAAACAAGAATATATAATTTTCCATTATTTAAAGTTCACTTGAATATTATTATAAATTGTAGAATACGTATATCGTAAAAACGAGAGGAATTTTTAAGCTCCAAAAACAGGCTAATCACTGCGCATTAGTAGCTAACGGATTAAAGAAGAAACACACGATCAAAGCTTATTAAAAAGAAAAAAAAAGAAAAAATCGTTGGAAGCAAATGGCAATAAAAAAAGTATCAAAGCTTTGTTTTGCAATAATTCGATGTTAGCGACAAAGCGGATCCGATGAAAAGTGTCGCGAGAATTGTCTTTCCATCTAGAGACCTGGTCGACAGTCGAACGGCTGCAACGTGATATCGTTTCAGCCGTACAACGGTTGTGCAAAGTGTCGTGGAAAACCGTGGACAAAAAAAAAAAGAAAAAAAATCGGGAAAACCGCGTTGAATTCGCGCGAACATTTCAGATATCGTCCTTTGTCACGAGTTGTCGTGACGTTAAAAAAACGGGATCTCCGTGTGTTCGAGCACACGGATTAACGATTTATCAATTTCTCTTCTTCTGAAATTATTTACTTCATCATCGAATAATTCCTCTTTCTCCATTTTTCAATTTACCTTCTTTATACCGAGATCAAATACGAAAATGTCACAGCGAGTAATGATTGTGTTTTTGATTTGGAATTGTACGAGTAGTTGCGTCGAATTACAATCGGATACATTTGTTGCTTGTACGATTTTCAACGTTTTCGAGTTACTTCATTATACGCTTTAAACCGCTTAATCCGACCGTTCATCGACATCGATTGAATTATTCACACTTGTTTATTGCTGCATCTCGATTGGCTTGTTTTGTTGCCGCGGATCGTTTTGATTTCGTTTTGAATCGCATTGAGAAAATATCGTCGTTGCTTTTTTTTCTTTTTCCGCAAAATGGCGAAAAGTTGACAACGGGCGAAAAATTTAATGGTACATTTTAAATTTGCCTTTGAAATTTTCTGATATTAATGGATGGATGATTAATTGTCGTTATTTTAACAAGGAATTATAATCGGTTCTCCCCCCCTTCCACCGATATTGATATTTAATATTAATTTCCAATGTTCGATATTACTAGTATAAGAATAATTCCAATATTAATTTTCGATATTCAATTTTTATATTTGGAAAAAAAAAAGAATCGTAAATCATCAAGAGGAAAGAAGATCGATAGAAAGAAGATAGAAATTTACTTTATTTTAAAATGAACAAATTATTAAGATGTATCCTTCGTTTCGATTATTAGGACGAAGAGAAGAACACCCAGATTTCGAAATTCGATCGAGCAACGTCGCCGTTATAATACATGCATAGAAACTTGGTGGATAACGAACCGGAAAATCGCGTTATTTGTATTCCGGTGGCACGAAAAAATTCCAACCGGTATTATTCTCCGACTTTCTGTTCCCTTCATTTTTCATTGGATTTTCCTTAACTTTAATATATACATCGATAAATTCTTCTCCCCTTCCCTCAAATTTATCCCGCGTTTTCTAAATGAAACCCGTTTGTTGGACAATATTAATCTAAATCGATCTGCAATGAAAAGAGAATTTATCTTGCGTGAAAAGATCGCATCGTTGGATCCTTGGACAGAAAGTCATGGCGATCACGTATGTGTGATACACTTCCGTGATCGTGCCACGGCAGTTTTATCGACGAAATACACGAGATACTCGTGACTGAGCTACCACGAATTCAATGGATCGCTATCCTGTTGGTTTTACCGGCTTTCACTGCTGATAATATTCCTGTCATTTTTTCCCCTTCTGTAACTTGTAAAAGAAATTAATTTAAATATAACATTAATATTTATTCAGATCAATCTGTATTTGTTATTCGTCGTATTATAAAAAGCGTGTAATTTAATGAATTTAAATTTTTAAATACGATAGATCATCGTAATCGCAAACTTCGATATTTTAACGTGAAAAACACGGGGATGAATTAAAAATTTTGCCATTGAAACGTTGTCAGAAAATAGAGGGAAACGTGCCATTGAAGTTGCTTTTTGAATTATCCCGATATCTCGATCGGTTGCCGAGATATAAAAGTTGAAAGTATCCATATCGCTTAAGATAGCGCGGAAATATGAATGGAGCCGCCATCTATATTTTTTGGATGTGTACTACTGCATTTCTAGGAATCGCGTCTGACGCTTGTCTGGAGTTTGGGATAGGTCAGTGAGACGAGGCGCGAGCGAGAGTTCCGAGTAAACAATAAGGACGGCGATAGTAAATGATCGAAAAATTACCCTTTGCTTTACACGACGATATCTCGGGAACCGGAAGTCGTATCGAGATAAAACAAAAAGCGTTTTAAAGCGGAAAGTTCCCCGTTTCTAACGATGTTCGGTTCATTGATTGAAAATCATTATCTTCGGAGTTATAACGGTTTAAAATTTTCCTAATTTCAATAGGATTTAATCGAGTTTTAAGGTAACGTTACGTTATTTCTGGAAAAATATTGTTTATAATTATGTTATTGATGGTGCGTTGATGATTGTAAATCGATTTAAAAATTAATCCAAATCTATTCAAAGTCATCTTTGATTCTTAATTGGATTAAGATTTGTTGCGAAGCATATAATTTTTATTTCAGAACATTTGTATATATCGTATGTATATAGGTATCCTGTTTAAATTTAATTTAAACAAAGTATTTGGAGAGGTTTAAATAACTGCTTGCATCGAATTATCAGAAATTTTCATTTTCTATGATACTTAACGAATCTCTAATATTTTATTCATTGGCTATCTCGCTACAGATTGCTCATTCCATCAACAATATTCTAATTACATATAACTTCAAAATCTTTAAAGCAAACGCAAACAACCTGAGAAACTTAAGGGGTATACACACCGTAGTTTTCAAGTTTGCTGCAATTAAACAAACTTGTTTCCAAATTATTACACGTTCAAGTAAATTTCACCGAATCAACAAGTCCACCAGTTTAATATTCATATTTCATTTTTAATTTCATTGAATCAATTAACAATTCCATTGAATTAAACAAAACTTATGTTTCAAATGATTT